ATAAAGGGTTTGATGGATCATTTTCGGAAAAAGTATCTTGTAGATACAATCAAAGCACATTAAAAAAAAATTGAGATCAAAATTGGATAATAATAACATTGTAAAAAAAGATTTACCCATATTAAGTTAGCCCCCCCACCAACGCCAAATTAAGTCGCATCTATCAAATAATTTAGTGCTAATTATGTGCTAATTAGTTGCCGTAGTCCGGATTTTGTTGCTCAAACCGTTTAGCAGGAATTTACGTTCAAAGTGGGGGGGGGGGCAGCTTGACATTAAGCCAGCCCCCCCTATAAGTTTTATCAGATTTTAACTGTTAAATTATGTGTTCGACAAATAATTATTTAATGTAAAACATAGACTGATGTAACAGATTTGTCCTTAATATGTATATAGAGGAATGTGAAGTGATAGGAGTTACCAGATTTTTGTATTATTTATTGTATTTATAATAAAACAGTTTTTTATTTAGAATTATCATTCATTTTATTCTCATCCTGATAAATCCCTTCACACTGTATATTTATAAAAATATTTAAAATTATTTTAATTATCAAATACATACAGACACATACATATATATATAGATAGATAGATTAGATTCTAAGATACATATAAAACTAAATTAATAAATAATCTTTTTTTATTGATTAATCATATATAAATCTGATTCTGTTCTGAAAAATATATTGTTTTATTCTTGATTATAAATGTTCGTCAATCTAAAAATTTAAAAATATATGGGAAATTAATAATTAATAATAACTTATTAAATAACGAATTGTCATAATAAATATTAGTCCGCGGCGATGTTGCTTTCCCCACGTGCTTTTGGTGTCTGTGAAGTTGGCACGACGTTTTACGAATTTAAAAAAAAAAAACTAAGAGTTCTAATAGCACTTTTCATAGTTCTATAGTTCCTGATAAAAATTAAAAAGAGTTCCGCATTCCTTATATTAAAAAATCGAAATTGAAAAAATGTCGTGCTAACTTCGCGAATCTAGCACGACAATCCTCCCCTCTAAAGTACTAAAACGCGTTGAATATCATCATTTTTGGCAAGAGTTCCGGATAGTTCTGTTCAAGTTCAGCACATATATGCAATTTCAGATCGATATTTCACCAATTAATAATATTTAATCAATTTTTAATATTCAGTACGACATTTGGTGAAAATATGTCGTGCTGATGATTTTCTGCAGTTTTAATAGTAGTTCTCGACAGTTCTATAAGAGTTCTATCTTTTAGGAACATTTTTACAGAGAGTTCCGATCGTTCATTATTTTTAAAACAATTTTTGACAATTACGCCCAGCACGACACTTAGTGAAAATGTGTCGTGCTGATGATTTTCCGCAGTTCTAACGGTAGTTTTCGACAGTTCTATAAGAGTTGATTCCTTAACAGAACAATTTTCAATAGCCAAACTATTATTCTTTAAAGAATAGGAAAATTTGACACTTGTTTCTCCAGAAAGTGAGTTAATAACTAAGATGCAGCAGTAATCTGCCCTAGTATTCCAAACGTTTTTACAAACCGAGAAACACGTGGAAAATCATAATAAAATTTCTCTTCTATCTATTTTTGAAAGACATATGTTGAAATTTTAACTTTTTATCTTTACAAATATTTTTTGTCAGATATGATACTAATACATATATATAAAAAAGAGAAAATAGAGAAAAGTCAATCTCCAAGATTATTTTTTACAAATTTGGCTTTTGATATTTAATAAATCAAATTTTAAGGTTACATTCCTGAAACGTACTCTTCGAGGAAAATTTTACTCGATTTTTACTGGCTGTTCCGAAACTTTTTTGAGCGTTTCTGATTAGTTCCAGGCCGGGCCGGCCATCGAGTAAAATTTTCGGAGAGGAAATTTTACACCGTTTTAGAACCTAGTCTAAGAAAGAAAAACCTGACCACGTTTACATTTATACCCATTTAGCCTGCGGCCTATGCCTCAAATTCGACCTAAATTATTTAGGCCGCCTGCAGTAAATACTTGGTAAACGAACCGATCTGACTTGAGGCCTTCAGGCTTCGTATTTTAGTGACCTGATCTGAAATAGGACTCCTACTTTTTCGGTGTAAACGCGCGACCATTGCGATGCGACTTAAAAGCTTATTTGCTCGCTGTTGTTTTGTTGAGCTATCAAATTAAATAAGATTAAACCGTCGAAATACAATATAATAAATATATATTTCACGTTTACATTTATACCCATTTAGCCTGCGGCCTATGCCTCAAATTCGACCTAAATTATTTAGGCCGCCTGCAGTAAATACTTGGTAAACGAACTAGATTTTTTTCGGTATAAACGGTTGATGACTAGACTTAGACTTATTTTGAGTATAGGTCAGGCCGTGATCAGGTCGCTGGGTGTAAACGTGGTCACTATTCTCACTATCGATAGATTCTCTCATACTTATTATCCATGTTTAATGCGCAGGGAAATTAGGGGCGGGGGGGGAGGGAAGGAATAGTTGACAATGGTTAATTGTAAAACGGAACAATCATTTTCACATTGAATATTTGAAAAAAAAATCTTTATATTCTATAAGATGTATATACATATATACAATATCTTCTATTTTTCTCTTTTTTCGTCATTATAAAAGAGAATCAAACCCTCTACCCAAAATAAAAAGAGAAAGAAGTATAATTTTTTCTTTAATGCAAAAGATTTTAACGATTTTTATAAAAATATAATGAGAGAAATTTATTGAAATGGCTCCAGAGTGTAATAAAATCAACCGTTGCTTTCTGTTTAGAATATATCTCAAAATTTTTTCTAAATATTAACAATAAGACTATTTCAACTACGATTTTATGGTTCAACGAATAAAACTCAGTGAAAAAAAAAGTGAATCCAACGATTTCTGCGTGCTTCTCAAACTGTTTGAAACGCATACTCTTCTCTAAATTTTAAATTTTTTAACGACTTTTTCTTCTCGGATAGTTGCAAGTTCGACAACTTTCTCTTTTGAAACATATCTATTTAGTGTTAGCTTTTCTTTATCTGGATTTCCATGTCTGATCTCCCGCTGCGCAAATATTTATGACCAAATTTAAGAGAATTCTTCGAACCTTCTTCGAGCTATTCTTTCAAACTGCAGGTATCTAATTTCTAGAAAAGCTTTAACGGTTTTTCAGTTTCTCTGCATAAGGGAAAACGATGGATTCCTGTCCAGCTAGCTCACTTCGCAAAAATAAAAAAAAAAACAAATAACGTACAATTATAAATTATCCATGAGCTTTCATATCCCGCAAATTAAAAATTTTTAGTTTGTTATACTGGACAGGATTTTTATATACGTGGGAATATAAATAAGTACAATAATTAAAATTTATAAAAATTAATTATAATCGAAAATCGTTAATTTTTTATATTGCACATATTTTTCTGATGTCTTTTTTTGTATTTCCTGTAAAACAGAATGGCACAAATAAGATTCTTTCTATCATATACCATGATTAAGAAATTACTATGTTTAACTTGTTCAAACAAAAACAGATTGAAAAAATATATTAGAAAAATTATGTTATGTGTGCTACATTATATACAACATAATAAATCGTGACTATAGAGGCAATGCCTCCTTTCTTTAACTTTTATTTTTTATAAAGGCGGACGCCATTTCTATCACCTTTTTCACTCACATAAAGCAACTTGAACAGCCATTAAAGCTTTTCTAGGGTTTAGACACCCTACTATACTTTATAAACTTATATACTCTTGTAAGTTTGCATGCTGTACGGTTTTCCGGCATTATTTATACTTATTTTGCAAGCAACAAATTTGAAACTTGTATATTTCGAGAGCAACAAAATAGCAAAAAATTCTTATATTATTGTTATGTACAATTTTGTTGCTATATATATATATATTGTTTCGCTAACTTAATCTTCGTTTAGAAATCTTTAACTTTCGGTTTAGGAAAGCATCGTTTGAACATTAACAATTTTTCTGACTTCGAAGTTATTTTGCTTAAAGACAAAGCTTTGTATGAAAAAAGTTTTATTTAATATCCTCGGTTTTTTTTTTATAAATTTTGTCGGTTGTACCATCAGCTCGGAAATACATTCTTATTTAAATATTTACTATATAATTTGAATTATTCGCAATATATAGAGATAAATTATATTATTTATTAATTAAGCATCATATAAATACAATACAAATCTAAAAATAACGGAAGATTTTGGAATCATTCAAAGTCGAAAAGTATATACCAAAGGGGAGATTCTATACTATCGTTGAATATCAATCCCATGAAATATTTACAAGAGGTCAAGGGGAAAGCATTTGAGCATGACGATGGTTTTCTGAGCTTTATTCCCGTGCATTTGAGCACTGAAGCGAAGCACGTAATCGACTTGTAAATCCTTAATGTGGATTAGAGTCTTATGTCTCGCAGTCAATTATTGAATAAATTGTAAAATTTATGTTTTAGCAATCATCGATCACATTTTTTTTCAAAATTAATTTTTTTTCCCTTTTTTCTTTTTTTCTTTCTTTTCTTTTTTTTCTTTTCTTTTCTTCTCTCTCTCTCTCTCTTTTTTAGATTTGTTGTATTATATATTACAATTTTTTTATACGCTTTCTCCCGCGTGTATCTTATTTGAATAACAATTAAAAGTAGGCTCGTTAGAATTTAACAAAAAAATATATAAATAAATAAAAAAGGCCTTTACGAGCAATATATGGATGAACAATATGGTTTTAATTTTAACTTTATTACATAAAAATTGTGGGACGTTTCGACACTCTACTTGTGTCTCCTCAGCCACTCAAAAATTAACAATAAGGCGTCTGGCGCAAGATCAATCATACCTCATGGTTTGATTAATACAACATATATATGGCATCCATCACCTTTATCAACGGTCGCTAATGTGCTCCTCATGTGGTCCATTGGCTTTGAATTTTAAGTGAAGTCATTGTGTTTTTTTTCCCCCTTTTTTTTCTTTCTTTTCTTTTTTTTCTTTTCTTTTCTTCTCTCTCTCTCTTTTTTTTTTTAGATTTATTGTATTATATATTACAATTTTTTTATACGCTTGCCCGCGCGTGAATCTTATTTGAAGTTATATTGTTAAACACTAAGGCTTCATCTCTTTTTTGTATCAAATTGCTCATATTTTTTCTCATATTTTATTGTTCAATGATTACTCAGTTTTAATTATTATTAATCAGTTGATAAATTTTTGAAACAATGTTCCAGCGAAATGCAAAACTCGGCAAAAAGATTAACATCAAGTTTCGATTATTTCACGGAAAGTATTTCGAATATTTTCGAAACAACCTTTATTTCTGTCGTACGTGATCGTACAATAGGACGTTCGTTTTTATACCTTTATTGTTTAGGGGCTGTCACATATACAAAGACGTATAATATATGGATTGCGTACCTCCCGTAGTCAGAACGTTAAAAAATAGAAGGAGATAGCTACTGTACGATCGTCAATCTGTCTTTGTCTAAAGATGCATGGTGGTAAAGAAGCTTTCGTTGAGTGGGAAACAGAGAAGTAGAGGGGATGAAAAGACGACGATAGAATGGTGATACAAAAGCATGCTCTCTCTGTCTAATATTTGACGACCCCCACTCCTTAATATTTAGTCTAGATATACTATGTCTATGGACATATATCTCTGATTCTGATGATATTAAATTAAAATTTGCGAATTTTTATATTTTATTATAATGATATATCCCTGATACATGACGATATATTTTTCTCAATTAATTAGATCAACTGCAAACCAAGTACAATATCACAACCGATGAAAGTGGCAGAGGTTTATCCGTTCTGGGCGAATATACCGGCATAATCACGCCGATATTTCTTCATTATATGATTGTAATATTTACAATGTACTCCAATTTTATTGGTTCAGCCGATTCGGAGAAAATATTAAGGTAATTTAAAATTAAAGTTAGCTAGCACAACCATTTAAAACATAAAAAAATATGTGCAGCGTGGTTCTCTAGCGCCGTCACTGAGAGAGACTTCTCGCATCAGCTGTTAGTACTCGAGTAGTGGGGAAGTAGCGGGGTGGGGAGGAAGGATATGTAGTGGTAGTAGTGTATAAGGTTCCATTGGTTACCTTCTTTCAGTTAACGACAGTCACTGACGATTCTTCACGAAGTAAGTGTCGTGCGACGCGCGTGGTCTTGTGTGCTTCAAGTAGTCTCGTTTGCTTCAAGATCGTAGTGTTACGTGATATAGGTATCGAGCAGTATCGTGAATTCTTCGCGTATCGTTATTCACTCGATGTGAAGTGTCGTGTGGTTTGCATATAGAAATCGCAAATTGATAATAGGTAGGTTCCCAAGTTGGATTTCCGTTTGATCCTTATCCACTATATTTCCTCTTAAGATATTGGAGAAGGATTGGATGCCTTGCCAAGAAATAAAAATTTCTGTGGTGTCTGTGAAGAGAAGACAAGAGAGAAGAAGCGGGAGACGATATTCCGACGATCGACAGAAGTCGACCTTGTTCCTGCTGCCGTCGCTGTTATAGAACGATTAACGGCTCTAAAAGGATTTAACGTTTAAAGAACTCGTTCGAATTATTATCCCGTGTGATATCGAGACAGGATAACGCGTGGCTCCGTATAAAAGTGGCTGTCGTCTCCGCTTCTTCTCCCTTATCTCCTCTTTCTCACCTTCATTCGCGCTGACAATGCACGCATCGCGACAATGACGTACCCGGCGAATATTAGGTCTCATATCATATCGTAGGAAGAAAATCCATGAAGGAAGAAGAAAACACCGTGAAGATGGTCGAAGAGAACATCGTAAGAAGCGAGAAGTCCGAGGACGTTATAATGGACGAGGACGAATATCGGGCGACTTGCGAATCTGATTCGAGTCCGTCGAAGAAGAAGGAGAGCGGTTATTTTGAAGATAACCGCGAGAAGATTGACGATATCATTCAGAAGTACGCCAATCAATTTGGCGGCGCTATCCTTAGTATCGGATGTAGTATGAGCACCGAAAGCAATGGGTTAATCATTGACGAGGAAGCGAGTCTTTTAGATCAAGAGGATCAAGAGGATCAAGAGGATCAAGAGGATCAAGAGAATCAAGAGCATCAAGAGGACAGCGAGCAAGGCTGTCCCACTTCCTCTTGCTTGACTGAGCATTCAAATATCTTCGCAGACGATCTCGATCTTGTGACGATCGAAATTGGCGACACTGTGGAAGATGATTCCGTGCAAATCCAATATGAGACGGATCCTATCAGCAACACTGACGACGCGAACACATACGATATAGGTAAGAACGTCATATTTAATCGATAGAAAATCATATTCTCTTATATCGAGAAACCGGATTTCTTCTTATCAATAAGAATAAATTGTGAAAATGAATAAAGATTTAGTAATATTATTAATATATTTGCGGCGACCGCCGCAATACTGCAACGTTGTCGCATGGCTAGAGATATAAATGGAAAAAAAACAAAACCTTTTTGTTTTCATAAAAAAACAGTTTTTTTAATGAAAAGAAACAAACCTCGTTTTTTTCAAAATTTTGTCTTTTTTCAGATATTTAATATCTTTATATTTTGATTACTGTGCAAATAGATTTTTTATTATTTTTAACTTTTTAGATGATAGATTTGAATTAACCAATATTAATTTAAATGTAGCTCGCATTCCAATTGGCTATATAGTTACGTAATTACTATCTGTAATTAGATAAATTCTCCAAAAACAAATCAAAATTGAACTTGAATAAATTGAATATTTATTGTAGATACAAAAATACAGTTTGTAATTTTAAAAAATGCACTTTAGTTAATATTTTAAATAATAATTTAATCATAATTTGCCGCAAAAGTCTTATTAATCCATTAAAATTACTTCCGAAAAAAATAGATTAAAAATATAAAAATTTGAATTTTTTTATTATGTTAACAAGAAAAAAATATAAAGAAAAATAATATTAAGTATATTTTAAAAAGTAATGGAAAAATACAAAATTTTGTTTTTTTTCAACCGTTTTTTTTCTATTAGAAAAGAAACGGTTTTTTTACATCTCTATGTATGACATTGAGCGATGGCGGGACTTCAACAGGTTGTAAATGCGACTAAATGCGGCTGATACTAAACTTCAGGCTTCTTAAAACCATTAGAAGGTATCGATCCGGCTGCTTAACATTCCCGCACTGGATTGCAGTGTGGCATTAGCGAAGTTTGTATCGGATTCGTAAATCCTAATTATATTTATTGTAGTAATTTATTAAGACACGATTCAGTTCCCCTCAAAGAAAGGAACATAAATGCGTGTGTGAAAAGTTCCTATATCTATATTTCTTCATATGTGTGCTTTAATTTTTTTTTTTTATTTAGCTCGAAATTTTTAAGTTAGAGATTTTGAAGCACATTCAGTTTTGGATTACTAGAATAATTACACTCGTTTGAATTTTTTTTTTTCTCAGCTTTAAGCTCTATAAAAATATTGGCTGTAGATTGATATTATCTTTTATTGTGCTATATTAATTTTAAAGCGCGTGCGCGAATTTTTCTCGACACGAGAGTGTAACGTGCGGATTTCGACCTTGTGTTCTGCACGATATTATCCTTCGCGTTCTTTTATAGACCGTACGTGTTTGTTTTGAAAAGAGAGATCATATTTTGAACAGCTTCGTTAATGTCTTTGTGTTGACTCAGACTGCGCCGAATGTGGCGAACGCTTTCTCAAAATACGATGTTGTCTTAGCGAGCGCTACAATTTTTTTCATTGTTGCATTCTCTCATTGATATTTCGCGGAAATTATTTCATTCATCTCATAGCAAGTGATTAACGTTTGTTATATTTTTTCTTAAACACGATATGCACATGTATTAAGGAAACCAAAAGTTCAGCTATTTCTTACATGGAGAAAGAAGTTTGATATCATAAAACGAAAACACGTGTCTTATTTCTCTAATATTCTTTAATAAATTTGTTATTTTTAAAGAAATCTGATAATTCCGTTTTGGACATTCTGTGTACATGCGTCTTTATAGCGAAAGAGTTAATGGCGGAAAGATATAGAGGGAAGATCTTAATCACTTTCTCTTGGTGTATACGAGACACGGTTGCAGGTTTTGCGCACTTTCCAAAGCGTCCATGTTGTATTCTTCAGTTATTCTGCAATCAATGGTTACATATATGTGTTAAAAACATACTTACTATTATATATATGAAAATTAGATTAAGCTTGCAATCAGAAAAAAGAAAAGTGATATGAAAAGTATGTTTTAAACTTTGATATTTCTTTTATAATTTATTTCTTAATAACTCTAATCCCTTCTTATCCAAGATTTTCATTTTTATAACCCATTTTATTGAAATTTCATCGCCACACAACAGACAGACTAAAATATATTCTACAATTCACACACACAGTAAGTACTATATTTTATGAATTATCAAACTTTTACTTCTTTTTTTCCGCGCTGAATTATCTCCTTTTTAAATTTCCGCGTGTCGTTAACAGTTTATATTTCGTATGCCACATATTGCATCAGTTTTATAAAACACTTGACGTACATATATATCCCACATGTATTTATAATATATATATTTATTAAACAAGGACTCTCTCTATAAACTACAATTTATTGAAAATAAAAATTAGAATCAAAGTAAATAAATAATCAAGATAAATAATTTTATCATCATCGATTCTTTTTTGTTACGTTATATTTTATTGTATATAGTACAAACACGGGAAATTAAAGAGAATACGATATATATACAGACCTGTTGCGCAAACAAGTTGAGATGAAACAATCATTTTAAAAGTGCATTTTTTAAAATCTCGTAAAACTTTGCGATGCAACGGCCACTTGCATATGTGGAATTGTACAAGCCATTTAATACTGCTATCACAAAGTAATCGCAATTCAAAGTGCTTGTTTATATAGAAAGCCTCCCACGGATCATACATATAGTTAACAAGACAGCTGCTTTAATGCTCAAACACATCAATGATCTTTTAGTTGGATAGAAATAAAAATAAAAACCAAGGATTTTGACAAAGCGATAAAAGATTAATTTTCTTTAATGTTAATGTTTATTTTAGTAATATTTTTTAATATATTTGTAAGTTTAAGTATATTTAATGTTGAGATCGTAAAAAAATTAATAAGTTTAAGTAAATTAAAAATATATTCTGACGTCTTATTAAATATTTTGTTTTTTAACAAAGGAATATTTAAATCTGGTTAAGAAATAGCTTTTTCTAAATTGGTCGAAAAGTCTATAAATGAGAAACGCGGCATTGATTTACATATCTACTCGTATATTCTTATGCGTATCTATAAAAAGAACTCTTGAACATAAAAAATGCGCATGGTATATGAAATGATCCGAGATTGAGCACGCGGTTGCAACAAACGATAGAGACATACGTGATTGGATAGCTGTATAAACAAGTTTTAATGAACGGATAAAGATGTTAAAATCTACAATGTCGGGCAAGCGTAACGCGAACTGAATCGATCAATTAATGTTAATAAATATATTTCATACGGGAATATGAGTTACCGATACAAAGAATTCATACAGTATTATTTTATAAATAATATACGGAGGCAAGGCTAGTTGGAAATGAAATGACCGATTTCCATTTTAACACACACACACACACACATACTCTTTTTTTATAATTTTTATTTAAATATAATTTTTTCTATATATTTTTTTGCGTTATTTATATTACTAATAATAATATAACTGATTAATTTCGTAACGTAATCTAAAGTTAAAAGATCTTAGCGGACTGAGCTTCAAACTCCTATACATATAAGTTCTAGTTCAAAATTTCAAGAATTTGACTATAGAATCATCACAGATTTAGAAACAAGAAACGGTGATAATTTTGAGACGCTTCGTTCATTTTAAATAATATTTCTTCTTCTCACATATATAGTTCCTTTTTATTTTTATCAGGAATCACAGGTGCAAAAGGTCATATGACTGTCAAAAATGGCACGAAAATAGTATCGGTAGAAGAGTGTGCATTTATTCTCTGGACTATGCGTTTACGATATATGATAAATTCTGAACATTCTGTAATATTTTTCACCGATGCAACGCGATACGATTATTTTACCGGATTCCGAATACAGTTACGCATACTTGATATATCCAATTGTGTAATGTTTGTGTTTCTGTTGTGAAATGATATCGAAAACGCTTATTATTAAGCTGCATTATTCGCTTAACCAGCAAAAACACTCTAATTATTAAGCGAAGAATTATTTAAAGAGAAATGTTTGCGTATCTTTCTATTGCATGAAATTATTACAATTTGGAATTGTTGATTAATCGAGAGCGCCGAGAGAGAGAGAGAGAGCGATCTTCATTATTGAACTTTTTTGATTATAATTGATACACGGTAGATGATAGATTCTTTATGGAAACGCTTTCCAACTATCTTTTTAAAGATAATTAAAAAGCTACTGCCATTTTTGTAAATGTTTATCTAAATTTATTATGGCATTGTAATCTCTGAACAATTTAAATTATTTTTATTTGAAATATCTAAAATTGTATATACAGGGTGGCCCCGAACGTTCCAGCCAGACTTTGAGATCTTATAGGAAATTTAATTCTGAACAAAAAATTTCCTATAAACATGTGTCAAAAAATGCTTTCTTAAGAAGTTATCGCTTAAAAATCTTTGAAATCGTGTTTATTTTACACATTTTTCCAAATATCGTGGAAAATGTGCGTCTTTTAACAAAAAGTTGAATCAGGAGGAAATCCGTAAAGCGACTAGATCGGTCATTACTCGATGCCGAAAGTGTATTGGAGCTAGGGGGGGGGACATTTTGAAAACAGTTGGTTTTTTCACGTCTTTATTCATTTTCTACTATTACGTGCTATTTTAGTTTAAAAAAATTTATTTTATTTTCATAAAAGAAAGATTTTTTATTTTTATCGTTTTTTCAAGAAATTTATTAAGTTTCATTTTCTTTTTATTTCATTTTCTTTTCACCTTTTGTTCTTCTTTTGCATCAGAGGTTTTTGAGCGATAACTTCTTAAGGAAGCATATTTCGACCCATGTTTATAGGAAATTTTTTGTTCAGAATTAAATTTCCTATAAGATCTCAAAGTCTGGCTGGAACGTTCGGGGCCACCCTGTATATAAAATTAAGTACAAAAATCAGAAAATTTTTTATAACAACAATTTGATTTTAAACTCCTTAAAGAATCTCTCATTAAAATTAGGATCTAGAATGTCTAAATATCTGTTCTGTGATTTTAACGCTTTATA